ATACAAAGGCAGGAATGGAATTTGGTGCACTGCGCGTAACTGCCACCTCAGTGCCGTTTATGCTCCAATTTGGTAGGGAATAGGATTGATCCAGCTGCACCAAGCAGACCTGAATGAGTAATTATCCATGACTAAATGTTCAAGTATCTGCTAAAACCAAAGATAATCCTAGAACTATTTCTTCCCTAAGTTCTCAAGAGAAATTAGAAGCCACTGGCTGTTTTGAGAGATTATTCCCACACTTGAGGCTCCTCTAAAAGTGTTCAACTCTTGGATATCTAGTTTTGGAACTGGCAATTTGCAGCTCTACACACAACTGATTTGAGAATCTCTGCCCAATTTTTAGTGTAACCTCATCAGAAATTATCATCCTAGTGAGCACTGATACCCATGTCTGAAAATGTAGATAGAGAATTTGAAATCTAGTTGGATATTGACATTAAACCACCTTTGCCGCATTAGAATGAATGGGTTTCAACCATGCTTTAGCTGAATAATCAAAGCTTGATTTTCTGAGTTGCATCACTGCAAGCATCATTCATAATTAGTACGATAAAAATATTTACTGAGAAGATGAAAAGAAATAAATGAGATAAAACGAGTAAAAGGATGCCTTCACTGCTATCATCTGCACTCTTGGTCATCTCCCATAGTCGACTTAAAATTTTTATGAGTACATTTTAAAAAATAAGTATTCATACATATTTTGTATCTCAAGTCACAAGACAGATTCATCACAATTTTTCTGGCAGTTCAGCTCTTTTGGATTGTAAATTGGGGGTAACAGCAGTTCAGATCCTATGAGCACTGGCTGAGCAATCATTATTAGTCATAAATTCAAAGCAAGTTCAGAAACTTACACAAGTTCTCTGGTAATGCTGTCACTGAGTTACAACCTTGTCAATAACAATGAATATTTTAAGTCAGAACACTTCTACAGAGTCTCAAAAGTATTATTTGTCTATAGTAGAGGCATTTCAATCTTCAAACTAAGAATAAAACCACAGGCCTATTGAGGCCGATGGCAAAACTCCAGATGGGTACAGAATTGCATCCTGCCTACAAAAAAGGGAAACTGCATCAGATCTAACTCTGGACTTGCAAATCTCATCCTGATATTTTTTATTAAAGTTACTGGAGATTTAAGAATCCTTACTATTGTATGGCATGTAGATCATAATCTATTTTCTGAACATCGGTGTGCAATACATTCAGTGACTGTAAAACAATATTCCAAAGGTTTTCCACAAAGATGGTCTCCAAGTCCACTATGTCATATAATGGACATCAGATTTTTGGCCTTGCAAAACTCAACCTTAAAGACATTTACTATGTTGGTAGTTTTTGGCGGGTTGGTTATGGCAGAATCATTTTGAATAAGATAATGTTTTCAGCATGTATATCCTTTATATCCAAAATATCACAGATAGTTAGAAAAAACATAATGCAGGCAGGAATTGCAGAAACATAAATCATGGGAGCAACCAACAGTTTATTCGATGAATATGTGACCTATGAAACTTTCCCTTCCATAGAAACCCAGAGCTAATGCTTCTTAAATATCCAGACATGGTGTCTTTGCTGTTACTCCCTCCTCAGACATTCCCTCCATGGTCTTTGGAGGTGAAATGGACTGACTTGTAGAGGGTTTAATTTGGACTGTAGGAACCTAAGAAAATACCAGTGTATTCCTGATTTGAAAACATACCAGAGAATAAATCTAAAATGAATCCATGTGTAAAATTCTTGATGATGTGTATTTGTCTATATGAGTCTGCTAGCCATCATTTCTTGCTGCCGTTAATCCATTAGTAAGAATATAGAGATATACAGTCTTACATACATTTCATAACAAATATAACAGCATCAAGCTGAATGGTGTAATAACATGTTATCACAAGGTTAAGAAAGAGCTGGTTCCCATGCTGAGCACCCTGCCTTTTCAGTTACCAACATGGAGCCATAGGTACTCAAGAGATCACTTTAAAAAAGCAAAATTGGACTTGGATACTTTTATTTTGTTTATTGCCTTAACCATCTCCTAAAATCTGTACTATTGATAGCTCACCTGCTACCATGTGAGAAAAATGAGGAGCCTTTTACACCATATTTAGCAATAAATACACATGAACAGTTACATTCAAGGCCAAGGATATAGATAATGTTCACAAATACATAGAGTCTGTGGAATACAGTAACATCTTTGGATAGATTCATCATTTAAAGCTTTAGAAACAACAAATTATTCCACATTGCTGCTACCATTTGGTGGTAGGGTTTTTTTTTGTTTGTTTTTGAGAAAAACATACAGACATCACTTGCTTGGATTACCACTGCCTTTAGACTAATGCAGTTCCATTCATTTCATTTATATTGGCACATATCAGGAAAAGTAGGCTCTACGTCTGCAAAAGAACACAGCCAAGGCTAGCCCGTAAGTGGTCTCCTCCCAAGTCATTTATGCCACTGCTCTTGGTTACAGAGCAGATTTAATGAACAGGCAGCTCAGCAATGCTCAGTGGTAAATTGTTCACTGGGTTATCCTATGAAATCTGACTTACCTACTAGTATAGCAACTAATCTGCCCTCGACAAAATAATTTTGTCAAACTTGAGACGCTACGTATCTGTGAGGGCAGAATTCAGTTTGGAGCCTAGCTAAACACCATGCTGTGCTTGTTACCACGCTATGAAGAATCAGAAAGGGCTCCTATAACCAAAGTTAACTTTCATTTCTTCTCAGAACAGCTACCTCTTTTTCACAACTTCTCATGTTAAAGTTTTCTTTGCGTTACATTCATACCACATTCCCACCACATTCTTTTAAAATGGTCATTATTTTATTCTGTACCTGCCTCAAGCAGGATGAAATTAATCAATTGCACAAAAGTGACATGACATAGACTTGTGACCCTGCCCAGCATCCAATTGTTTCTAATTGATTAGCTCCAGACATAAGCACTTTAATAGCCAAAAACAACACAAGTGGAAGCTATGGTACAATATTAGGGTAGAATGACTGTGTGTGGTCCATATAGTATGGCCCCAAGCAACCAATTAAAGAATTAATGGTTATTGGATACCAAAAATGTTATGTTAAATAATATGAAATATCTTTAATGTGCCTAAAATTGTGATAAAACACCTAAAACTTAGGAGCAGAAGGGCCTCCTACAAGATTGGGGTTAAGTGCTAATGACTCAAATATGGCAAATAGATTATAATATTTTAAAGGACAATCAAGACCAAAAAATTTGACCTGGATTGAAATGTTCAGAAAGCTACTCACAATAGCCTATTGATTACTCCAATGTGTTTGGGTTGTTTTTATTATAAAGAGACAAGTGAAGCTATGCCAAACCATTTGTGGAGAAGAGGAAACTATGCCACTACTGGTTCCAGTTCTACAATAAGAAAAATATGAAAGAAAAAAATACAAGAAAAATATTGTAAAAGAAAAAAAAAGGAAAAAAAAAAAAAAACAACGATCTCTTCATAACCAAAAGGCCCAAACACAAAGTTGACATTTCCCTTCTCTGAACTTCTATTCTCACCTTGAACAGAACTATTAAGTGAACTTTACATATTGCTATCTGAATGTTTTATAGGGCCGGTTATTACAGCATTACTCAACTGCTTGCACACAAAAACACAAGCTGAACAGGCACAGAAAATCAGTAACATTTTTGTTCTTGTATAAGAAATATGCAAGCAAAAAGCAGAAGATCCCACTGTTGCCCTATCTGCTTGGACATGCACCAGATGCACTGCAGTTTACTGCACAACTAATACAAATCTAAAAATTTTTACTTTTATGGCAAGTCCTTTACTCAAGTAACCAGTGTACCTTCATGACTAGCTGCAACCATAATACAGACACAGGAGGTGTTCATCAACAGGTGGCTGCCAAATGAGTCTCAGCACACACTGCACTCAGCAGTGCTACTGAGCATGGGTTGGAGCCCATTCCCACTACCTTAAACCTCAAAGTCCACCCCAAATTGATCATAGCTTACTCAGCGGTCTAGTACAGTCGTCTCAGTTCTTCACACTCCTTTTGAATTTACTTTTGCCTGCTGTATTATCCTTCAATTCAAAATTCTTCAGGATGCATGTTTATATAACACCCAGCACACCAGGCTCCAGTTTGAAACCACCATTTCACCATTGCAGTAGTACAAAGAGTACACAACAGTACTACAGTAAACAGCATCACTGATTTTATTTAAAACCAAGATTTTACTTTTTTGTCAAAAACTACTACAATACTTCAAAAATTATGCTATTTATTTAAAAAAATATTCTTCAGGTTATTTAGCTGTCCTTTTCTAAGGATTTCTGGATGCGGGTGTATTTAAGACTGAAGAATGCTTGAAACGTTCTGTGCTGTGGGAACTATCAGTATAGAGAATGACATACTATAACAACATCTCTGCTGCATGCCAGCACACCATATTTCTTGAAATACTCACTTCTTGGAACTGATTAGGCTCATGTGTCAGGCAATAGATCAGTTGGCAGCTATGGTTTTCCTCCATGGTGCCTGTATTCATTGAACACTTGAAGGAAAGACCTTTTTGGACCACCCTCCCCCCGCCGACACTGGCTTCCAAGTGCTTTAGATGTTTCTACCCAGGTATTTATATAACCCTTGTCACCTACAGTATCTTAACATTTATCAAGTGCTAAACCTCCGGGGGGCAAAGAGCAGCTGTGCTGCCTAGAAAGACCTATGGCATTACACATCTGGCAAGATCTCCCTTTTGTCCACATATAGTAAAGTCAGGTACAATATTACTAGGAAGAGAGAGAATATTAATTTCCCACGTGGATGTCTTTGAAATTCAGTTCAGTGAAAGGAAAACCTTCTCATCAGGAGTCTTTTATTTACAGTGTAGTTCCTTCAGCAGTTTTCTGTTTAAAAAACAGTAATTCAAAGTGTGCAGCAAGATCATCTGATAAAAGACCAGGCATGACAATAGCAACAAGTTCATTGCCTACCTGTAGATGAGCATAGATAGCAATAGCAAGCCAAGCGATCTCCCAGGAGATCCCTGTGGCTTTAGGGCTGGCCATCCTCGTGCCTCGGGTCTCTGCTGAGAGAAATTGTTTCAAGTTACAACCAAAATCAAGTGGGCTCCTCCAGAATTTCAATGACTAAAGCAAACTGGGCAAAGGCATGGAACCGGCCTTTGGAAGAAATGCAATGCAAACACCGGAGTTCTGCGCTGGCCAGAGGAGCAGACGCGTAGTGCATGCCATGAGCACAGCCTGCAGGGTGAGGTAGTTCCAATTAGGGAACGGAAAGGGGGGGAAATGGAAGGTTTGGGGAAGCTGACAATAGTGGGCAAGTTTGATTATCTCCTGAATGGAGGAGAACTTATCAAGCTGGGAACCCCTCCCATCTTGATTTCTGGGAGGTAAAATCCAAGGAGCATAGGATTTCTGATGTTCAGCACTTTCACCCACTGAAAGCTGAGACCCCAGCTCTGGGACTTCAGCAGTCATTTGCACTGCCTTTGAAAGCTCTGATCATAACAGCTCAGAGACTAAGCAATCATCGCAGAAGAAAAAAAAAAAAAAATCCATCAGTTTAGTGATTGTCACCATTACAGGGCCAACACGAAACTGTCAGTCACTTTTACTAAAACCTTCAATTTAAAATTGCCAACAAGAAAAATATCATGTAATAATGCTGCTAATTCTGCTAATTCCTACTGTCAATGCATCTTTTTGCCTCAGACTATTCATAACCACAGTGATCTCAAAATAGTACGAGTTCCACGCACCCCTAATACGCATGCACACAAACAGCCCTCCCTCCTTGCCACCACCCCACTATTTTGCAAAGCCCCACAGTGAATGCAAATCTCTCCTTCAAAAAAAGTACTCCTTTCTAAAAGGTCAGATATCCCAAAGGAAAACCATCTATCCAAACAGTTCTTGCACCTGTCAACTAAACATAATTAAGATTCCTTACAGAAATAAGTGTTTCATTCCCTCCATCCAGAAAAAATTTAAAAGTTCCCCCTCCTCCCCAAACCTTTAGCACTCCTGGATGCTTTTGTCATTCAAAAGTTTCAATCAGCTATGGCAATAAGAGAAGGAAGATTCCCCCCCGCGCCAGGCACTGCCAAGAGCCACAACTGGCAAAACACACCAGACTCCGGCACCTCACAGGTGTCGGTGCCTGGGCTCCCCAAGGGCTCCCCAAGCAACCCGCGCCGCTTTGCCCTCTCGGACGACCCCCGCCCAGCACCGCGGCCGTCCCCGCTTACGCTGAACCCCGCCGGCCC